CTAGGAGTTTTCATATTATAATTTTCAAATTCAACTCAAACAATCGTGAAAGAATTTGAAGTAACGTGGAGTTTTTGTTTTTATGGTTAGCAAAGTTTGCTGACGATGGAGCAGATCATTTCTGTGGAAGAGACTCAGATTAAAGACAAGAGGTGCATTTTGCTCAGGATCAAAGGAGGGAAGCAGTTTGTCTTGCAGTGTGAGGTGAGTTCTTACTGACGTTTTCTTAGGTAGAAGTTAGAACAATTCTGGGAAAGTTCAATAGGCGTGGCTGCCTGCTTATAAAGTGTTTTCTTTCTGTGGGCTTTGTCACTGACAACTTAGCAAGAAAGTCCCAGTGCACTAGGTTTTTAACAAACTGACCAATATTTTTAAAGAAGCGGAATTTGAAAATGATGGGAATAATTGGGTTAGTCATTTGAAATAACTTGATTATCCTAGAATCATTAATAATCAATGATTATCTGGAAACCATTCACTATTTTAGGTGACTTAGAATTTCGTTTGTTCCGTAACTTTTCAGATCCTATCTGTCAGCATGTTTGCAGTGCAGTTTTATCTGTTGAAATAGACATAAGATACCAAAGCAGCTTTTCCAAAGGAAGATGCCATCTTTCTTCTCCCTGGAGTTGTACTGTAGCCTGCATTTTGCTGATTGGATTCCTAGACACTTTTCCTATCAGGGTTTGTGTGTGTCAGGAGAACACAGTAAGAGCAATAGACCAGTGGTGGATACAAACACGTGCTTAATAACTTCCCCACTGCCATGCACTTGTGAAGATGCTTTTTAATTTGTCAAAACTCCACCTCACATATTATCTCAATAATACTTGGTGTTATTGGTGAAGAGCCTTTCTAGAGGGAAGTCCCTGGGTGAAAATGGTTTGCACTCATCTGTTAACCTAAAGCAGCTCTGGTGGCATAGTGCCTAAGGCATTTGACTGGTTGGTTCACTGGTTGATGGTTCAAACCCACCAGCCACTCTGTGGAAGGAAGACTGGGCAATCTACCTCTGTAAAGATTTACTGCCTTGAAAACCCAAAGGGGGGTTGCTGTGAGTCGAAATCTACTTGATGGCAGTGAGGTTTTTTTTTTT